ATAAAAATTGTTTTGAAAACATCTGCTAGTTAATGTATAAGTTACAAGAGCAGGCATAATATTTGCAACAAATACAATTACTTTCCAGGTAAGTCATGGACTAAAATATTCAATTCCTACTGTAAGGCGTTAACGAATTAGGGCTGGAAACTAGATCATTTTCAAGACCACGAAAAAACCCCTGTCAAAGAAGCCAAAAGGGGGCATTTTTAATATAACAATTTAAAAAGCATTAGTTGGTTTTGCCGACAGATCGATACTATAAGACAATGTTTCGACTTCTGTTATGATTATTGAAATTGTTGACCCTCTATGGTGTAGGTTCCGAAGGAATGGGCCAATATTGTACATTCCGTATCGGACCTAAATAAGTATGATATAAATATTGTGACGTGCTGGGTTTGGATTATATTGGTTACTTCCTTCACTTTATAGAATTTTTCGAAAATGTTAAAATGTGCGTGAGGTACCCGATTTAGTAGACCGAAATATTCCATTTTCATACTTCATATAATCAATATAAAAATATTAGTATGGCAATATTACAAGAAAATCGAACATTTATATCCAATTTTATGCGAAATCATAAATTCCATATTCATCTCAGTTTTCTGGTTGAGAGAAATATTTTGATATAGCAAATTGTAAAGAATTTCTGACTTCGTTCGCAAGTTATTACAGATAAAAGTATTGAATTGTAGCTGAGGTACCAGAAGGGGTTGGCAGATATATATCATCTTCACTACAGATCTTGCGTCCGCAAAAATGTTCTTATGTGTGAAATTTGAGGAGAGTTGGATGCTTATTTCGTTTTCTTTGAGCCTTTTTTTCAAAATCTTGAGCCCTTACCAGAAGCAATGGTCCGACCTCTAAATAACAGATCTTGTGTTGATGGAAATATTGAGATGTACCAATTATGTTGGATTGGAGGTGCCAGAAGGAGTGGACCGATATATCCCATCTTCACAGCAGTTCTTGTGTTAGTAGAAATAGTGTGATGGGTTAAATATTAAGAAAATCGGATGCTTATTTCGGGTTATTTGATCGACCTTTGTGGGGGAGGTAGCAGCAGGAATGGACCGATATATTCTATCTTCACACAAGACTTTGGGTTAAAAAAAATATTGTGATGTGTGTAATTTAAAGACAATCGGACACATACGTCACATTTAATAAGAGTTATACTTATTTAAAATGTTAACCCCTTTGTGGGGAGGTAACTCATGGAGTTGTCCAATATTGTCCATTTTCGCACCTGATTCAAAAATTAGGATTTGCAAAGTTGGAGCAAAATCGGATTATCATTTCTCTTTTTGGGCAGTAAAATATTGTTTTTGAAAATGATGACATTTTGTGGGGGAGATACCAGAAGGAGACCGAACTCGATCAAAGTTTGATAATAATATTACGATGCTCCAAGTTTGGACCAAATCGGATACTCCCTTCGAGAGTTATCGTGCGCACCAGCCAGACAGACAGACGGACGGACATCGCTAGATTGACTCCAAATGTCCTGAAACGGATTTAGTCCAATGATACCTAGGGTCTAAAGCCTAGGTGTGAGTACGTTTTGGCCGTATCAAATTATATAAACCCTCTGTAGTCATTTGGCTGAGGGTATAAAAATTACCAAATATTTCTTTAAAATTCTATTCTTTATTAATAAAAGAGGGGTATAACAATATTTTCTTTAAAACAACAAGTATTTAAAAAAGGTAGTGTAATAATTTCCTACTAGAAATCTACCAAAAATGAAAATTATAAATATTTGAAATGGAAATTGTAAACCATAAACAATATTGTATATATTTTACCACAGAACTCAAAGTGTACGAACATTTCGAAGGAGGATATTTTAATTTAAGTGAAAAAATATTTTTAAGCATTAGTACATGACATTTTCCAGATCCAAATGGAAAGTAGAGAGGCCCACCTGTATGGATTATAATTTCAGATTTACCTTTAAAACAAGTAAAGCAGGTTGACTTGTATTAAATAAGCAAAGCATTTGTTTTGAATAACAAAATAAACCGCGAAAAAATAATGAAAGGTCAACACATATTTTTTAAAGTATATTCTATATATCCTTAATGATCTATTTCATCACAAAAGGTTTTAAATTCGTCCATAAATGCATTGTCGTAAGAATTTTTGTTACAACTGATTCAGATGTGTAAACAACTTCCGTGTAATTGAAAAGGATACATAAACATACACAAGTAAATTTGACATCTGAAGCCAAACAAATGAAAAAACAAAAATCAATAGGTAGCAGTACCCTACTTTCATTTCATTGTACCATGCCCCAGATCCATGTCCGTAATGTGGCGTTTCCAGTGCACTTGATTCGCTCTCTATTCGTTGTTTGACCCTTAACTATGAAAAAACTACCTAATTCTTCACACAAAATTTCCTGAGCGAACACTCATATTGTTCAAATCAAATCACTCTCAGAACAACGAAAAAATATGTCCCATCCCTAACAAATGAGAGCATTTATCGAAAAAATAAATTATGACATTTAAAAATTAAAAATAGAAAAATTTGATGAAATTTTAAAAATTTTCGGGAAGACTGAAAATTATGAATGAAAACTACAATGTTGAATGGCGTATGTACATTTAAACGAAAGTAAATTTTGTTTTCTCTCTCATTCGAGGTACGCATTTTGTCCACGAGTTAAAATTTTCACAGAAAACGCAAACAAAAAAGGCAACATTTTCAAAATGTTTCTATCGGCAGAAAAAAATGTTTGACAAGTGTCTCTCCAGCAGAATTTAAAAATGGAAAACCACAAAAATGTGTTCAAAATGTCAACATTTACACAAAAAGTTGAAATCGTGAATGAAAATTGTAAAATTAATGATATAATAAATCTTTGGGAGTAAAACAATAATTTCTTCTATTCATATTAGTGAGAATTTCATGTATTTTCGTATAAATTCCCATTAAAATCAACAAACAAAATTCTTGAAAAAAGGAATTTTTTTACTATGAATTACGAATCGTGCCGTATGAACGGGTTAATTCGTGTACCTAATTCTGAGAGCGAACAACGTTGTTCGGTTTCCAATGGAAACATGCTATTAAATATGAACATTCATATTCAAACTTCCGTTCCCAATCTATTTTTTCAATTGCCACATCTTCTCTGCTAGTTCGATAGCAAAGTAGCTGCGTAGTAAAGGGCTGCAAATGTGACACTTTTCTCTATTTATGTCATGGAGAAAAAACGCTCGTCATGTTGTGCCCTGTTTGATCAAACGCATAACAGTACGTGACATCCAACTAAATGCTCGATGTCTCGTCATGTCGGTCACACTCAAACCCATCGTCATAACATGTAATGACCAATAAAAGGGAATGTTGAATAGTGTGTCATACAGAAATGTTCTATCAAAAAAACAACAACAATTATGAAACAATTGCCAACGAAAAAGACACACACATGATGAAGGCAAAGCGCAATCGCTACCTGCTATTCCGATATGTGAAAAAATACATTTTTTGTAATAAAGAATTTCTTGGCGATTACTAAAATATTAAAGGTACTTCTAATTGGTCCACACAGAATGTTCACATTTCGTGGTTATTGACGAAACAATCTAAAATGTTAATCCTTATTAAAAAACAATAATCCCCTGAAAAATTTTCTCATTTTGATTATAATTTCATAAATGTTTGCCTCAGGTATTGATATGTAAATGAGAATGAGTGCTACTGTAATTCACATAACAACAGTATATACTACCATTGTTCAATTCTGTGTATATTCTGTTATCGAATGAGAGTCAAATACTTTTTTCACCGAAGTTTTGAACAACGAAAAAAAAACAACTGGTTTGAAGGTTTAATTGATAATCCGCTCTATTTTATTTTGTGCTTTCTTAAATACAATTATTTTGCTTTCTTTTGCATTTTTGTAATATAACTTAAAATTAATGTTTACATAAAATTTCTAAAGAAATTTGTCTTGTGCAATTTAGCAAGGTAATGTAATTTATAAAATTTAATAAGGTCATTAGTCTTGCATTTTCGTTAGCGGAAATGCACCTTAAAATGCAATCGATAAAATTCTTTGGAATTAATATGATTGAAAAATACAAATAATAAGTTTATTAAAATTCTTTGGAATTAAGGTCATTGGACAATTTAACAACATTAATGTTAACTGTTGCATAAGCGAAAATGCACTTGGACAAATTATTCTTTGGAAAACACAATTCATAAATATTCGTAAAAAGAGAATAAAAAAAAATAATCAGTTCTTAAAAATAAGTTTGGACATATGTGTATTTGTATTGGACATAATGTATGTTTGTATATTTTAGGGGAATATGGGAGACACTATAACATCAAATCTCTGCCCACAAACTTTAATTTTAAAAGAACAATATATGTAGATTGAAAATATGCAAACAATATTTACCTCTTTTTTATGACCAACATTTTATGATAATCACCAATAAATTGGGATTATTAAGCATATATTTCATTTTTTCTATTCATTTGTTGTTGCCCATGTACATTTTGTTATTGAACTCAATTTTATATTTACGCGGTGTTTGTTACTTCAAAATTACAGCACACACAAAACACACCCTCGTCGTCGAAAGTAACACACACACACACACTCTCAATTTAAGCACACGTACACAAATGACACACAATTTGACGATGACACGGTTCGATGTCATCGTTGACACCCTGCATTTTTCGAGAACACCATGCAAATATTCGAGTCAGCCATGCCACGATCGAACCTTAGACAATGGCACACATGAATCAAAATGGGGGATGTTGTTCGTTGTCATTGCTTTTCAAATACATAGCGCATGATTGAGTAGACAAAGTCAGTGTGTCGAAAAAAGCATAATTCATACAATTCGTCTTGTGCAGGCCTTTACTGCGTAGCCATCTGTCTTAATTTGTACGATAATCGATAAGACTATTATTGTGACTATCGAACTAGTCATCGTTTGTTTGCAATCTCAACTACCTACCGGCTGCAAGTCTTTTTTTCGCAAATTATTCAATTTCGGCTGGCAGGCAACAAGTTTATATTTGTTAGGCGAAAGTTTTAGTTTTTGTTGTAATTTAATTTTGTTAATAATTCTATTTTAGTTTATTTTTTTGATTTCTAAAATCAACTTTCAAGACCAAGGAGTTAACACTTGCTTGGTACAACGATCCGAATTATCCAAAAAAAAAGAGAAGAAAATAAATCAAGTGTTTCCAATCAAAAATGTCGGCTACACGTATTCTTGGGGCAGTGGGACAACTCTCTAGAAGGCAATTTATGCAAAACAGATGCAATAATCGCTGTAAGTAAATTAGGTCATACATTAATTTCATTTTTATAATAATTAAATTAATTAATTTCAAATGGTTAATAATATTATGTTTGCCCAATGCAAAATGTTTGTCAATGACGGAGGGGTCCGCGGACTGGACTTTGAACTTTGTACCATAACAGCCAGCCAGTCACACATATAAATCGTATATGTATGTAAGAGCGTGTGTATATAATCACCGTTGTCATTTTTATCAGTTTTTTTTTTTTGGAGGGGGGAGGGGGACTGGGTTGCGTTTGATTTTCGTATTTTTTTTACATTTGGGTAAAGGGGTACAAAGTATTGCAATTTAAGTGTTTTTTACGTAGTCATGAGTTTATCAGTACTAGATTAATGGCTGGCCCATTTGTGAAAAGATAAGGCCTTGTAAAAAGGTTAAATTCCTGTGTTGTTAAAAAAACTGATTTGAAATCTTGATAAATCCATATTATCCAGTGTTTATGCAATAAACAAATTGTTTTGAAACAACGAAAATATATATGAGAAGCAATGTGTATTAAAAAGTACCGTAACATGTTGTTAACCTTATGACTTAAATAATGCATATAAATATCAAGAATATTAATTTAATAATTAATTTTTTTTTTTTCAATTCCAGTTATCAGCCAAAACATCCGCATGATGTCTGCCGCCGCCGCTGCTCAACAGAAAAATCTTCGCACCAAAGTTGTCGATGGTGTCCTCGTTGTCACATTGGACACACCCGGTGCCAAGGTCAATTCTTTGGGTGAAAATCTTAGCCAAGAATTCGAGCAAGTCTTGAAGGAATTGGAAAGCAATGCCCAAGTCAATTCCGCCGTTTTGATTTCAGCCAAACCTGGCTGCTTTGTGGCCGGTGCTGATATTGGCATGTTGGAGAAATGCCAGACCGCCGCTGAGGCCACAAAAATCTCACAGGAGGCCCAATGGATGTTCGAGCGCATGGAACGTAGTCGCAAACCCATTGTTGCCGCCATCAATGGCGTTTGCTTGGGTGGTGGTTTAGAATTGGCCTTGGCCTGCCACTATCGCATTGCCACCAAAGACAAGAAGACCAAATTGGGTTTGCCTGAGGTGATGTTGGGTCTTTTGCCCGGTGGTGGTGGCACCGTACGTTTGCCAAAATTGACTGGTGTGCCCACAGCTTTGGATATGGAATTAACGGGCAAACAATTGCCTGCCGAGAGAGCCAAACGTGCTGGTATTGTCGATTTGTTAGTTAGTCCATTGGGTCCTGGTTTGGGACCGGCTGACCAACAGACCATTGACTATCTGGAAAAGGTAGCTGTGCAAGTGGCCAATGACATTGTTAGCGGTAAAATTAAGGTGAGTGGAGCGAAATATGTTATAACTTAAAATAGAACCCAAAAATTTAGAATTTATATCCACATACCTATTGATCGATTACAGAAACAGTCTCCAAATTTGGAATGCGTAACAGAATTTCGAACAAATATTAAATTAACCAAATTATATTGAAATCGGTTCAGAATTGGGTTATAGTTCCCATATAAATTTTCGGCCGATTTTACATATTTGATGCATTAAACACGATATGTATGTCCGATTCCAATGAAATTCGGCATGAGTGACTAAATTTGGTACAAGAATACATTTGCCAAATTATATTGAAATCGGTGCAGATTTGGATATAGCTCCCATATAAAATTTCGGCCGATTTTACATATTTGATGCATTAAACACTATATTTATGTCCGATTCCAATGAAATTCGGCATGAGTAACTAAATTTGGTACAAGTATACATTTGCCAAATTTTATTGAAATCGGTACAGATTTGGGTACAGCTCCCACATATATTTCGACCGATTTCGTTTATACAGACAGAGAGACGAAATTTGGTACCAAAAAAAAAATTGCCAAATTATATTGAAATCGGTTGGGTATAGCTCCCATATATACAAAGAGACTCATGAGACTTTTGATGTTTTTAAACCTAGCCACATAAAAGTCGTTCTATCTACATAATTTATAAATTTTTAATTTATAATCTACCGCCTCCTTTCTTTCAGATTAACCGCGAAAAGAGTGGCTTGGTCAACAAACTCACAGCCATGGTTATGGACACCGATTTTGTGAAGAACAAAATTTTCGATACTGCCCGCAAACAGGTTATGAAAATGACCAATGGTCTCTATCCTGCTCCATTGAAAATCCTCGATGTTATTCGCACGGGTGTGGACAAAGGATCTGAGGCTGGTTATGCCGCTGAACGTGAAGGTTTTGGCTATCTCTCGGCCACGCCCGAATCCAAGGGTTTGATTGCTTTGTTCCGTGGACAAACTGAGTGTAAGAAGAATCGTTTCGGCAAGCCCGAAAAAGAAGTCAAGACATTGGGTGTCTTGGGTGCTGGCCTTATGGGTGCCGGTATTGTCCAGGTTACCGTCGACAAGGGTGTTAAGGTCGTGATGAAAGATGCCACCGAAGCCGGTTTGTCACGTGGTATTGGCCAAGTGCAAAAGGGTTTGGAAACCGCAGTGAAACGTAAACGTATCTCGGGTTTGGAACGTGACAAGACTCTGTCCAACTTGGTACCCACATTGGATTATAATGAATTTAAAAATGCCGATATGGTTATTGAGGCTGTCTTTGAAGATATTAAGATCAAGCACCGTGTCATCCAGGAATTGGAGGCTGTAGTACCCAAACATTGTGTCATTGCCACCAACACCAGTGCCATTCCTATTACCAAAATTGCTGCCGGTAGCTCTCGCCCCGAAAAGGTTGTGGGTATGCACTACTTCTCGCCTGTTGACAAAATGCAGTTGTTGGAAATTATTACCCATCCTGGTACTTCACAAGATACCATTGCCTCGGCTGTTGCCATGGGTCTGAAACAGGGTAAGGTGGTTATCACTGTGGGTGATGGACCTGGTTTCTATACTACTCGCATTTTGGCCACCATGTTGTCCGAAGCCATACGGTAAGTTGAGGAGGAGTGAGTGTGGAGGGGGGAATGAATGAAATCTAATGGCTTTGCTTTTGTTTTAGTCTCCTCCAAGAAGGTGTGGATCCCAAGGAATTGGATGCTTTGTCCAAGAAATTCGGTTTCCCTGTTGGTGCTGCCACCCTGGCCGATGAAGTCGGCATTGATGTTGGCTCCCACATTGCCGTGGATTTGTCGAAGTCGTTTGGTGAACGTTTCAGCGGCGGCAACTTGTCTGTTATGCAAGACATGGTTTTGGCTGGTTTCCTTGGACGTAAATCAGGCAAGGGTATCTTCATGTATGACAGCCAAACCAAAGGTAGCCGTCCAGTCAACATTGAGGCCTTGGAAATTTTGAAGCAAAAGTATGCCTTGGTCTCCAAGGGTGCCAATACCCCCGAAGACATGACTTTGCGTATGGTTTCACGTTTCGTCAACGAAGCTGTCCTCTGTTTGGAAGAGAAAATCTTGCACAACCCCTTGGAGGGTGATGTTGGTGCCGTTTTCGGTCTTGGTTTCCCACCATTCAGCGGTGGTCCCTTCCGTTGGGTAGATCACTTCACTGCCACCAAATTGGTTGACAAAATGAATTCGTATGCTGACCTCTATGGCGCCCCCTTCAAACCTGCCCAAACTTTGGTTGATATGGCCAAGGATCCATCCAAGAAATTCTATCCTCAAAATACTGGAGCCAATGCCAGCTCGAAACTGTAAACTAAGGTTACTAGGTTACTTATTCTTTTTTGCTAAGTTTAAACAAAAAGTCGCGTCGTGTCACCCCTCCTCCCTCTGTGCAGTAGTGTTAAACACTAAGTATTTATTTTTTAAACAAAAAAAAACATGCCTTTAATATCCGCTCTTCTATTTTCACAACAAAGCAAGCAATTTCCACGTGCTTAGCATTTAATGGAAGCTGTTTGTGTTTGAAATAGTACAGCATTTAAAACTTCTTTTATTTTGTATTATAAACGCCAAATTTTCGAAAAAATATACATTTGCTAAAATTCCACTCATTTTCGTAGTAATTTTCTTTCCGAAAGTTCTTTTCATTTTTTTTTATTTTGTTTTTACACAACTTTTAGACTGAAATCATAATTATAATAATAATAGTATAATAAAAAATAACAACAAATTTTTCTTTGATAATGCATTACAACACATTGATTGTAGTGTATGATGATGGGGGGGACGATGATTGGTTGTTGTCTTCTTGAGCAACATAGTTACGTTTTTCGTTCTTGTATAATTTCTATTACAATTATTTTAAAATTTAAACTAGATTTATGTTTTTTGATTAGATTAAGAAGTGGATGGCTGGGCTGTCTGTTGCCCATCTATTTGTGCCAATCTCCTCGTGAGGAATTTCGCCGTGTCTTGCTGCTTGCATTGGGGGTGGTTTGACTAGTCACATTATTGTTGCTTGTGTGGTTGGCATTATTTGTACTTCGTTCCAGTGGATATCGCTCCACCACATCATCGATTAGCTCTAGGATACCGATTTTCAATTTTCGCTTCTGATGGGGTGTCAGCGCCGCAATATCGGGTAATATGCTGCGAAAGAATTCCATGTCGGCCTGTTCGCCGGCATACATATGCAACTGGGCCGTTGTGGTTGCCTCACTGGCATGGCACTCGGTTTTAATGCGTTTGGGTTCATGCAGAAAATCATGATGTGAATCTCGCCGTATATTTGTGTTCACATAATCCTGAACCGCTCCATCGGGTGTTCTCAACTCAGATAGCTGGACATCGGGTATGAAATTTTGCATTGTATTGGCGCTAGCTGTATCACTCAAAGGCGGCGAATTGGGATGTTGTTGCATGTGCATGTTTGCCGCTATGGCCGGATCAAAAGCATCAATGGTTTCTTCATCCTCATTGTCGGACAGGGAATGTTTCACCTCCAGTCCATGATCTTTGTAGTTTAATTGTTGCGGTGGCACCATAACCTGTAGCGTGGTGGATATTGAATTATTTTGTTGTTGCTGTTGTTGCAGTTGGTGTTGTTGTTGGGAATATTGATAGAGGGTGGCCAAACTACTATTGCCATCTAGAGAATTTCTGGTCGATTTCAGGAAAGGCAAAAGAAATGCCATGTGCTCGGTTAGGTAATAGGGTTTGTGTTGGGGATCATTGCCACTCTGCTGTTTGATGTAGCGTGAGAGGCAGGCTCGCAAGTTACGCCAGCGTTCTTTGCAGTGAATAACTGAAAGAAGAGAACACAAAAAGGTGATTACATGGAGTCCATAGTAATACAAAATGGTCTGCAAATATGGAAAATCAAAGGGCCCGAATAAATGTGGGAGATCAGAAGTTTTTATATTGAAAACGTAAGGTCTGCTTAGAAGAAAAAAGTACTTTTAATTTAGCAAATGTGGTATCTAAGAACAATTTATCATCCTTTTCTGTATACGATTTGGTCGCCTATTTAAGAATGCCTTCTGGCTTCTTCAGAAAAAGGTTTACTAGACTTCTATGTAAGGAGACCATTTGGACTTAAATCAAAGAACTTCTGGGATTCTACATAAAATGAAGTCAACGTAAAATGATCTTCTAGGAATGCCTTGTTAATTCCAAATCCCAGAACTTCCTGTCTTGTCTATGCAAGAAATATTTTGATCTTCTGGTCTCCTTTATATATGAAACTTACTTCTGCCTAAGATTTCCTGTCCTCCTAGACTTCTATAAAAGATGACCTTCTGATCTTCTTTCATACTACACCTACAGCTGCTGATCCTTCTGGTCTTCTATCAAAAAGACTTTTTAAGATTCTGCAATAGCATAGGGCCTTTTAATATTAAACATCACACTTTTTTATAAGAAGGCCTTCAATTCTTCCATTGAAATACCTTTGACTTCGGCATAAGCGGACTCTGTGCAAGTCCACCTCTTCGTATATCCCCCATATAACTGTACCTCCTGATATTCGGTATTTTGATGATTTTAGCGACTTTAATCACCGGAATTGTTTCAAATTTGGTATTTGAAGTTCGTAATGGATACTACACCCTATGACAGAAAATTGTCTGTGCAGGTCGTCGTCTTCGTATAGCCCCTATATAACGGCACCTCCCTATTTTCGGTATTTTGTTTATTTGAGGGACATTATTCACCGGAAATGTTTCTAATTTGGTATTCGGAGTTTGTAATGCATACGAACCGCTCCTTCCGGTCGTCCCCGAAACATTCTTTTGTCTTCTATAGACAAAGACCTTTTGGGCTCATGCGATAGGATAGGCCTTTTAGAAAAGGAGAGCTACAAGAGGTGGACTTCTACATAAAGGCCTCCGAGACTATCATATACGTAGGCCTCCTAGTCTTCCAATAATTTTTTCCGTTCTTCTAAAAGATATGCCTTCTGGTTTTTACAATAAGGAACCCTCTCAAACTTTATATAAGAAACCTCCTCATCTTTGATACAAGGCATTCAGAGACCTTGGTTTTTCTACTTTTGAAAATGAAGGACTTTCAATTTGGATGTAGAAAGTTCTTATTTAAAAAAAAGGCATAGAGGTCATATTGAAAAAGAACTGAAGGTATCGTTGAATTTTTTAGTCTCCTAAACCCAAAACGATAAGCTCTTCTAGACCGGAAAATCTTCTAATATAGAACACCCAAAATTCCTCTAATTTAAGCAAGACCCTAAGGTATCCAATCTGTATTCTTCTGAATATTGCTTTTCCAAACTTACCACTCTCTTTGGTCTCCAACGAAATTTGATACCAGGCCTTCTCCTGATTGTCACGATTGCGATATTCGGGCACCTTTTTGTCGTACAAACACTTGTGATTTCGGACGAGATTTACAAAACGTATATTGAAATCTTCATCGGTTTGCATGGTCCGGGTGAAATTTCCCGGTGTTAACGAGGGGGCTGGATGATTCATGATGGGGGTAATAGTTACGGCTCGCTGCAGTACAACATTGGGCGGAGTGGTTACCGTTATTTCATTGGTAGTTGTGGGGGTTGTCACTGTTACTGTGGATGCTGATGAGGATGATGTGGTGGCAGCTATTGTTGTTGACTGGGGCATGCTGCAATTTGTCTCCTTGGTGGTGTTGTTGTTGTTGCTGTTTATTTTGGAGTCAGTGTTTGTTGTGGAAACAACGGTGTTGGTGGTATTGCTGACGTTGGTGGTGGTGCTGCTGCTATTGTTGTTATCGGCGGTGACTGTTGTTGTTGCTTTGGTTGCGGTGGTATTGTTGTTATTACTACTACTATTATTACTGGAGGCTGCAGGAACCGATGTTGTAGTGGTCATTGTTATTTAAAAATCGTCTACAATATTGTTTTTCTTTTATTTATTTACTTTTTTTTTTTGCTGCTCTCCAGACCTCCTTTTCCACAAGAATTTTAAATTTAGTAAAATTTATCGTTTTTTTCCTAACAATGTTGGCTGGCAGCTTCCCAATGGCGAGCAATATGTTAACACAAAAAAGGGAGTAATAGCTGCTAACTAACTTGCTGCTGGAGCGGTTGTGTAATAAATAACTGAAACAACAACAAAAAAATATTAAAACTATGAAAACAACATTTTCTAGTAACTGTCAGCTGGCAGAAGGCGACGACGGCGGCGGCAGCAGCAGCGGATTCAAATTATACATTTTTTAACATAAATTCAAAACAAACAACAAGTTTGTGTTTACTTGTCTTGTCGTCGTCGTCGTCCGTTGATAATATCTCGTGGATGGCTGAATTTTCGAAATGTGTATTTATGTATGTTCGTGTGTGTGTCGTGTCTTTGTGTGACAGGCGCGCGCTTTTCTAACAATATTTTTATTGTCGTTTCACACCACTCGCTGCTACATAACATACAACACAACTGGAGCCGTGGTTATCGCCACAGAGACTACGACGACAGGTGTACTATGCCGTTTCTCTCCATCAGTTTCTCAAAAGCTCGTTGCTTGTTGTTCATGCTCTCAATAAGGAGAATGTCATGTCAGCTTTGTTCGTTTCATGAATCAGACCACGTATTACACGATACGAAAACAGCATCCGGGGATGGAAATTTTATATCAAAGGATTTTTTTTTAATAAAAGGGGCCATGGAATAGGTATTTTTGGAATCTACAAGGTTGAGCCTCCAAACCAGGAAAGCTATTATCATGCATTTTCAGCAATCTTAAACACGTTAGTAATGAAGGAGATATTTACGTCTAAAACAGATACTTAAGCACACAACCGAAGAACCCAGAACTCCATAGGGGATTTGATTTAAAAACGAGAACTATCAAGTCCACTTGACATTTTTCACAACCCAGATTGGCTATTGTGTAGTGATATTATAAGAAAACTAGCAGCGAATTGGAAAAAATTGTGAAAAATTTTCAGGATTTTTATTAACAAAAATTGATGTAATTTTTTATACCCTCAGCGATATGGCAATAATTTCATATGGCTAAAACGTGCCTCATCGAAATAACGGTTTTATACGTTTATCCGTTTCAGGACACATGGAATTGATCTAGCGATGTCCGTCCGTCTGGCTGGTGTGCACGATAACTCTCGAAGGGAGTATACGATTTGGTCCAAACTTTGTACATCGTAATATTATTATTAAACTTAGATTGAGTTCGGAGATGGGTAATATCGGCCCACCTCTTCTGGTACCTTCCCCCCATAACGGTCGACATTTTCAAAGAAAATATTTTACTGCACAGAAAGAGAAATGATAATACAATTTTGCTCTAACTTTGCAACTCCTAATATTTGCATCAGTACTAGGTCAGGTGCGAAAATGGACAATATCGGTCCACACCATCAGGTACCTCGACCACAAAGGGACAAAATTTTGAATAATTATAACTTTTATAAAATGTTATGTAAGAATCCGATTGTCTTCAAATTTCACACATCCCAATATTTTTATAAATTTAAGATCTGGCATTAAGATCGAATATATCGGTGAGCTCCTTCTGATACCTACACCAACAAGGTTCAAAATTTTGAATATTCATGAAGTTTATAAAACAAGAATTTAAAATCCGATTCCATTCAGACTCGGCACATCTCAATATTTCCATCAACACAAGATTTGTTATAAAGATGGTAGAGATAGGACCATTCCTTCTTGTACCTCACCCACAAAGTATTAAAATTTTGAATAACAAAAACGATCATAAAATCCAATATTAGCATTCGGTTCTCTTCAAATTACAACATCACAATATTTCTATTAACACTTGGTGTGGTGTGAAGATGGAATATATCGGTGAGCTCCTTCTGGTACCTCCCCCCCCATAAATGGTAAAAATTTTGACTATTCATGAAGCTTATAAAACACGAAATTAACATCCGATTCCATTCAGACATAGCACATCGCAATATTTCCATCAACACACGATTTGTTATAAAGATGGTAGAGATCGGACAATTCCTTCTGGTACCTCTCCCACAAAGGATTAAAATTTTGAATAACCAAAACGATCATAAAATCCAATATTAGCATTCGGTTCTCTTCAAATTACACACATCACAATATTTTTATTAACCCAAGGTCTGGTGTGAAGACCTCCCCCTTAAAGGGTCAAAATTTTGAGTATCCATGGAGTTCATAAAACGTGAAAATAACGTCCGATTCCATTCAGGCTTGATACATGTAAATATTTCTGTCAACACAAGATCTGTTGTAAAGATGGCAAAGATCGCATCAATCAAGATTTTGAAAAACAAAACGCTCAAAAAATCGATCCATCCATCCATCTTAAATTTTCCACATAAAAACATTTTGGCTAACACAAAATCTGTTGTGAAGATGATATACATCTGCCAACCCCTTCAGTGCCTCAGTCACAGAGGGTCACAATTTCCAATACTTAACACTTGCGAAACAAGTCGGTGGTTCTTTACAACTTGCTATATCTAAAAACTTCTCTTAATGAAAAATCTGATATGAATATGTATTTTATCGGAATTAACGATTTCGCATAAAATTTGATATAAATGTTCTATTTCTTTCAAATTTGGCACATATCAATATTTTTAGCTGTATTAGATGAAGTATGAAAACGGAATTTGGTCCGCTATATCTGTTACCTCACACATATTTCCAGATTTTCCAAAATTTTGCACATATCTCATATAACGTGCAGGAAGTAGTCGATATAGTCCAAATCTGCCACATTGTAATATTTATATCAATCATAGGACAGATATGAATTGGCCAACTGCTTGGAATATTGGCCAACTGCTTGGAATATTGGCCAACTGTCAAGTATTGGAATAATTCAAGTCTGTCAAGCAAGGTATACATCTGTCGGCAAAACGGACTGATATTATTTGTTTTTTTTTTTAATCGACTAGATCGGCTCCAAATGCCCTAAAATGGATTTAATCCCAAGATACCTAGAGTCTAAAACCGTTATTTCGAAGAGTCACTTTTAGCTGTAACAAATGATATATACCCTCTCTAGCCATATGGCTGAGGGTATAAAATGTAAATAACTGTTTGCGAATATTCCATTTGAAAACCCCAAAAATTGCATCATTCTCTGATTTATTTAACTTAAATGAAATGTAAAATATGCTAACTTCCCATCTCTGGCGGTATCGAATCAGCAAATGTGTGGAGACAAAGTATCTCAATTGAGAGAATACATAATTCGGTCATTTTGAGAATGAAACTTTCTCACTTGAGAAAGGCAACAACAATTGGCCGCCAATGAAAAGTCATGTTTGTTTATGTTACAACTCTCTCTCTCCCGCCTAAAAGTTCTCTTATCACAACAAAACACATTTTGTGTGAAGGGTACGAGAGAATGGGGTGGGGGGGGGGGGGGGTTTGCAATAGAAACAAATTGGGGGGAAATCTTGTTGGTTCTTGTAACCATTAAACAGCAAACACAATAACGACAACACTACCACCAAAGCTTTTAAACATTGTTGACAAAAGCTCTTCCTTGTCAGAAAAAAAAACAAAAAACAATACAAAACAATGCTGCTGACGACGTTGTGGTTTGCTGCTGCTGCTCTATGTGGTGTGGTTTTGGTTGCTCGCTCGTCCGACAAGTTAACTTAAAAATGACAAACAAATACGACCGACCGTTCATCGCCGTCCATTTGCGTTCGAATGTTGTATTGTTTTGATACTTTGAGCATTCCGATGAAGATGAGACCAGCGATGCCAACTTAGTGCTTTTCGCGATATTTATGGTGCTTTTTAGACCCCCCAAAACGCCAAAATTGTGGGCATAGCGCGAAACGAAAAAAAAGCACTGTACGTACGCTTTTCATCTTTTCTGTTGGTGCTTTTAGCGGGTTTTAGATTTTACAATGTGGCTATGTTTTACATTTTTACTGCAAATTCTTTACGTGTCTTTCATTCCTGTCATTGAAGTTCTTTTGTTTACATGTAACTCTTTTTTAATAAACAAAAATAAAAGGAAGAATTTTGTGAATTATGGACCAATTGAAGGAAAAGTAAAATTAACGAGAAAAATAATTAAGTTCATACATGGCTGCTTTGTTGTAAGAGTTTACAGAATAAACATAAATGTTTATTTTGATTTTTACAAAATATTGAACGGCTTGGGAGAAAGACCCAAGGAGAAAGGTCTCAAGGAAGATATTCACTTTATGTTGCTGTACATTCGTCATTTCGGGCCGTGAATCATTTGGCAGAAGTTTGCAAATTGGAGTTCGCTGACAGCAAAGCAGCAAACTTCTCGCTGCATCGCACAAAATGTACGAATATTGTTAATAATATCCTGGCTCCCCATTTTATCGATAATTTTTTACATGATATAAAGGCTGTTTCCATTTTTGATTAAAATAGTTTTTCTCATATAGCACATTTTTTAAAAATATATATGCGCTTATTTACATGAAATGTTTATATAAGATACGATCTAAATCTTTGAATAAAACAGTATTTATTTAAAAAAAAACTGTTTTTTTTTTGACAAATTTGGCATTTTGGTTAGAAAAAAAACACATAGCGCTTTTTACGCTTTTTTAAGGAAAGTTTTTACGCCATTTACGCTTTTCTGGTTTTTAATTACGCTTTTAGCTCTCAAAATGTTGGCAACACTGGATGAGACGACGACGACATCGTAGAATGCACAGTGTTGTTGTTGACAATGTCTCTTCTTGGGTGAAAGGGGGAGGTAGGGTGGTGTTTGGGGTTTCCTACTAACTGTGGGGGAGGAGAGGGGAGGGATGAGATTATTTTCAACAACAGTGTATTATGTGTGTGAGTTGGTTTAGGTTACGTTCAGAGATGCTCAAAATATGTCGGTTGGTAAGTGACACTCTCATCGACTTTGCTCTAAACAATGTAAGTTATAAAGAGAGAGAGTATGAATGGTTTGGCTGTCACGAAAACGGTCTGTGGTGAGCAAACCTGGTTAAGATTCTTTGGCGCGTTGTTTGTTAGATTTTTGTTGTTCTTTTTTTCATGAACGAAAAGGAATGGATTGACTTGTTAGCTGCTTAGTCTTGCTCGATATTAATTTAAGAATGAATCTAATATGAAGGTAAGTCATATTATTCTCAGTTTATCTGTGTCGTGGGGAGTGGTGTCTATCTCTCTTGGTTTTTGTTTGTTTTTTTTGTCATTCAATTTCACATGTTTTGCTCTGTGCCTGCTCTTGTTTGTTTGCTTGACCGTCCGTTTGTTGTTATTTTCGGTTGTCGTCCAAAGAACCAACGAACTATTAACATACATTCACACACACATACCATCGCAGGAGATAATAATAAAACCGATTTACACAACGAACGAAACAACGAACAACAAAGCAACAACAACTACAACGACAGAGCAATACGACAAAACACAAATATCTGTATCTGCTATATCTCTTGCTTGCTGCTGTCGTTGTTGGTGTTATTGTTATTCTTGTCAGTGAATAGTCAGTCAGTCAGCAATATAGCTGTGGTTGTTGTAGTTGTTATTGTAAACACTGTTTGCTTGCTTTCTAGCTGGCAGGCTGGCTGGGTTGTCTCCTTTGTTTCTCATCTCCCCCCCCCCCCCCCCCCCCAAACCCAACCACATCATACCGCTGCCGCTACTGCTGCTGCTGCTGTCACCCTAACCTATCTCGCCAACTATTGTTTTTGTTATACTTGTGTGCTTTATGCTGAACGATGTTGTTGGTGTTGTTTTTGTTGTTATTATTGTTGTTTTCCACACATTTTAGTTATCTATACTTTTGTAAAACACACAATTTTATTTCTTCTTCAATTTATCGCAAAGTTTCTTTTGTTCTTGTTGCTGTTGCTGCTGCCATTGTTGTTTTTGTCTTAACTTAAAATGTTATTGTTACTTTTGTATTATTTTTTCTTATTTTTAAAAAAAACTTATGTTATTTTTATTTCACTACTCAAACGTAATTTAGTATTGAAAATTATCACATGAACACACACGCACACAAATATCTACAACACTATTTTTTTTTTCTTCTGTTGAAAACAACTCTGCATCGTGTTGTTTTGTTTACCTTTTGTCGAGAAGAAGAAAAAAATTCCGTTTCGAGGTTTCTTTAAATTTGAATGGAAAAAATCGCGGAATTCGTTATGAGTCGGTTGATTTCCGCGCCGTACTCACTATCTTCTCTTCACCCTTCAACAGACTGTCATCAAATAAACGTCAATGTTCATGTCTCTGGGTGTTACGTGTGTCTTGGATGTTTGCTTCGCTCCTCCGCGCTCTTCGCTGTGCGCTCTTACTTCGCTTAGCTTTGAATTTTATTATGTATTTTCTGTGTCTATTATTTGTTTTTTCAATTCATTTCAACTTTATTTGTTTAACACAAATTTAGACATGAGTTGGCTGGCTCGCTGCTTAGCTGGTTGTTGTGTCGTTGAATTTTCTTATTCGTTGTTGTTTCTTATTATTGGACATGAATATGTTTGTTAACAACACTCAGAGCACAGCACAACACAACACAGAAGAGCAAAGCAAAAAAAAAAAAAAAAATAATAATAATAGAAAGACAACCACATCCAGTAGTTTCTTTCAGCTGGCGAGCAGGCAGCGAATGAGCGCGCTTACAAAACGCAAATGTTTTCCGTATCAGGCAACAAATTCAACTAACAAAGCACAGAACAAACGAACACAAACAGCTTATGTATTGGGGCGGCCTCCTCCTCCTCGCCACCACCGACATCGTAACAACAATAACAACAGAAATACATATGTACATACACACACGCACGAGACAAGAATACCTTTCGTTGGAAATGTATTTATCACAAAAATAATACACACACACGACAAATGAACGAACGAACGAACAACTTTCAGTGAACATTTTCGTCTTATCGGCTCAGTTCACATAAAACAAACAACAGCATATGCCCCCACCGCCCGCCGCCCCACTGAGGGGAAAAACCACCAACAGAGCATTCAGCAAGTAGTTCACCCGCCAACCAAACCAACAGCACAACGTTTTCAATTCACTCTCTTTTTATTTTTGAGTACTCTCCTGGCGCTCTCTCTCTGTCTCTCGCACGGTATTGTATTTTTGTTTTTTTCCGTGGAAGTTGCTCTCAAAGAATTTGTTTTGTTGTTTTCTTATCAGTGAAGCAACACATTTTTAAGCTTTTAGCTTTCCCAACAAACATTGTGAGAAGATGCTTAAAAACAAGTGGTCAAAAGAAGGTATTAAATTAGGTATAAACAGAGATGGAAGCATTGAATTACCGCAAAGCACGAAAAAGAACTGGAGGCACATAAATTTAATTTTCAAAGATAGATATTTTTAGGCAGATTACGGGAGGTTTTTATTTTTAGAAGACAGCCCGGGATGCTCCTTAACGATATAAACAATATAGGTGTCATTTGAAAGATTATGAAAAAACCTATCTAAGAATTTTGGGGGTTTTAGAATTTTTGCTATCGATATTTTGGAACTGGATTTAAAAAAAAAACCAACAAACACTGGTGAGACAATTGAATATAGCGTTATCTAATTTAATAAAAGCAGGGATGGGAAGATGAAATTAGCATGATGCACGAAAAAGAGACCTTTTGCTAAGCGGATAACAACTATTACAAAAATCAGATTTTTCAATCAAAATGTTCAAAAACATTTAAAAATCGACCACTTCGTAGAAGAACCACCCGAAGCGGTTGTAATTGAGAATTTTATCGGAAAGATGACAGCTTTAAATCTGACATTTTTAAATCAGGAACATAAGCGGGAAAAAATCTAAATTTTGTATTTGGAACTTTGATCATTCTAAACTGTTTTTCAATGAAATCCTCTGAGATTCGGGAACGAATTGTTCAATACATCCTCATTTGCCCATATCACCCAATATTCAGCATTTTGATGGTTTGAGAAACGGTTGTAATTGGAAATTTTATCGGTCCAAGTTTTGACATAACCCTCATGCAGATTTTAGATATTTTAAAAATGACAGCTTTAGATCTGATGTTTTTAAATCAGAGACAAAAGCGGGAAAATAAGATTTCACCAAAAATACGGAATTGGTGACCTTGCAAAAGTGTCGAAATTCTGTACTCCGCACTTTGACCACTTTAATCAGATTTTCAATGAAATTCTCTGAGATTCAGGAACCAATTCTTCTGAGAACGAATTGTTCAATGCAACCACATTTGCCCATATCCCCCAATATTCAATATTGTGATGATTTGAGCAACATTTTCGACGGAATTGTTTAGAATTCTATAGTTTAAGTTCGAAATGGCTACCAATCCCTACGGCTTAAAAATTGATATATATGTATGAATGGTACCTCGAGTGATTCTGTATGTTGGTGGTTTTAGCCACATTTTTTGAGTAATTTGCCAGGAATCCTGTATTGTATAAATAACAATATAAGTCAGAAATTTTATCAGACAATGATATATCTATGGGGGATATTATAACCTAAACTGATCATTAATGTATTTTTGTAAAATATAACAATTAGATGAATTTTAAAAATTATCAATTTTTGGTAATTTGGTAGATTTTAAGATATGGACCTGGCGTATTTAAGTAATACGTCCGTACAAAACATTTTACCATAGTGGGGTAGTCGAATATTTGTGTAGGTCGATTATTAGGTATATTTTTTATTATGATGAATATTAAAGAGAATATCATATTTTTATTTAAAACATTTTGCTGGGCTATGCCATTCCAGTCTAGTATTACGATTCTTTTAGAATTATATTAAGCTTTGCGAATAAAGCTTTTTCTAAATGTAGTTCAAGCACAGTCAAATTACATACAAATCCTTAAGTAGTAATACAAATTTTGGTCACTAGATGTCATTGGGCATGTCTTTTTGTATTTTCTATAGAGGCAATTTCATTGACAAACAGTTGAATTGTCCATGTAATTTTTGGTAATGAATACCGGACACTTCAAGTTGCGCATCAAAAAGGAGCCATTGTCAAGTGACATGAAATATTTAGCGGTGCCTGTATTTTTATGTTTCAGTATTCAAAATGAATGGAGACTTTATTTTCAACAGTTGATTAGAAAGTTTCTATTGTGAATTGTTAAAAGGTTGTGCCTTTGACGAACTTTATTGACCATGCCACATTATCATTTAAACAATAAATTAAAATTTAGAAAAATTTTCTACAAAAATCAATTAAAAAAGGCTCAACTGGATATGGAGGATTTTTTATGTGTGCGTTGATGGATTCTTGAAACTAGACAAAAGTAAAATAAGTACAACCAACTTTATGTTCAGTTCACCCTGTGAAAACTTAAATTATGGCCAGACTGAATATCCTGAAAATCCCTTAATTGAGAAAGTTTGATAAAATGGGGGCTTTCATTTTCAAATATCACATTACAACTGATTTGGTAGGAAATTCGGATTTAAACCGTCAAATGAACGAAAATCAGAAGGTAGCGTCATGTGGCAAGTACACAAAACGGCGAACCTAATTTGCATATCTTTTATGAGGAGATAAACTGCCAACTAAGAACGCAAAATATCAAATTTCACTTGATTCGGTTGGTATTGTTTTATGGGAGCTGCTATGCCTAAAAATGGATCGACATATACAAAATTTGCAACAAAGTCGAGCGCCATAATTTTTTTATATATTTTTTTAATTTTATTGAATGAAAGCAAAAGATGTCGGAATAGCATCAAATTTAGAATAAGTTTAGATTTGTTCAAATTGGTCACCTTTGGCACGAATTATAGCCTTCAAACGGCCAATGAAACCGTCACACGCTGCCCGAATGTTGCTCTGCGGTAGTTTGGCCCATTCCCGTCAAAGCACTCGCTTGAGGTGATCGACACTTTGGTATTTTTTAGTGCCAACCTTGCTTTCCAAAATACTCCAGACACAATAGTCCAACGGATTGGTATCCGGAGATTTTGGTGGCCATTTGTAATGGAAATGAAGCGAGGAACCTCATTTTTGAAACCATTTTTAGGTGGTGCGTGCTGAGTGCGATGGTGCTGAGTCCTGTTGGCATGTCCAAGGTCTGGGGCCAAAATGTTTTCGTGCCCAAGGCTTTAGTACCCTCCAGAATATTTTCGCGATTATATTCGGCATTTATTCTGATGCCGCGGTAGATTAATACGAGCGGAGAGCGACCATCGGCTGTTATGGCGGCCTATACCATCACCATGGTGCACATTTTTATCTGACCTCTTTGGCAAGTTAACATTTTTTTTTTGTTTGTTTACAAACTGCTGGACAACGAATGTTTTCTCAGTGGAGAAACCCCAAATTTGGCAGTTCACCACTTTCGGCCAAGCGAAGCAACTCTTTAGCTCTTTTTTTAGTCTATTTTCTTTGTGTTGCGGTGTAAGTTCTTGCTCTTTTTGGAATTTCAATGGCTTTACCCCGAGCTCATTTTTTCAATATTTGCCGAATGAAATATTGCGATATGTTCAGCTCACGAGCCACTTTTCGACCACTTCGACGCGGGTTTCGATCTAGACGCTTCTTTACTTTTCGAACCATTTCTGCTGATGCTGCTGTTTTCTTTCGTCAACTTCCTTGACGTCGGGCTACGCTACCAGTATCACGGTAACGAGCGATGGTACGAGACACAAAAGATTTTATTCACATTTAAATGCTGGAGTGCTCTTACGATGACCACTTGTGGTTTTCCAGCTAAATATAAAGAAATCACAATATCACGCTTGAGCTCCATCACGAATAACTTTTTTTCTCGAAAAGTCTCACCAAAATGCTTTTGTACGCTTGTAAACAATATAATAAGCTGTCACTAGAATAATTTTAACAGATGTCGGACGAGTGATTTAGAAATGACAGCAGTCTGAAGTTGGTTGCAGTTTTTTCATATCACCCTGTAACATTATTCACCGGATTTGTTTCAAATTTGGTATTTGAAGCTCGCACTGAATGCTACAGGTCCACGTCTTCGGTATTTGAAGTTCGCAATTGATACTACAGCCTATGACAGAAAATTGTCTGTGCCGTTCCACGTTTTCGTATAGTCCCCATATATTCGGTATTTGGATGATTTTAGCGACGTTATTCACCGGAAACGTTTCAAATTTGGTATTTGAAGTTAGTAATGGATATTACAGCCTATGACAGAAAATTGTCTTTGCAGGTTTACGTTTTGGTACAGTCCCCATTTAACGGTATCTCCCTATATTCGGTATTTTGATAATTTTAGCACATTATTCACCGAATTATTTTTTTCAAGTTTCGCATTTGAATATTGTAATGGCTTATGCAGGTCCACGTCGTCATATACACCCAGTAAAACGGCTACATTCGGTGTTTTTAAGAACTTAACAGAATTTTTGACGATTTTTATTTTTTTTTTTTTTTTTTCAAAAAAAAATGCCAAATTCGTTCCAAATGGTGGAGTGTATTCAAAGTTCGATTTTAACAGAATTTTTTACGAATTGATTTTTTTTTTTTCAAAAAATTGTCAAATTCGTTCCAAATGCTGGAGGGTATTTAAAGTTCGGCCTAGCTGAAATTACATAATTTTTACTTGTTTTGTTTTTTAATTTTTTCCAGAGATCGATATTTGTACCGTGATTTCGGTAAAGTATTTGTTTCTTAGAGGACGAACCCGGATATTTGACCCGAAACATAAATTATTTTAAAATTTAGGCAAGTTTGGGTCC